GTAGAAGCCTGACAGCCCGAGGCGGTGGCCTTCCTCGAAAATAGACAGCCGTGGCGTGCGCTGAGCCCGCGCGCCGCCCGAAGCCGGGGCCGAGGCCGCCTCGGGCTGGATGTGCGAGCCATACCGGAAGCGCAGGTACGCATGGAGGTCTTCGAGGCCGTCCGTGTCGACCAGGTTCTGCAGGCGGCTCAGCATGTAGTAGTCGCCCATCACGTCGGGCACGCGGCTCTTCAGGTCGTCCACGAGCGCCGTGACCGCGCGATACCGCTGGCGGAAGCGCTGGTACCGGATGTCCAGCTCGTACAACGTCCACAGGTCGCTCACGTTCAGCACATTGAGAAAATCGTCGCGGCGCTGCATCCACAGGTACGGCACTTCGTAGCCCGTGTGGAAAAGGCGCAGCACGCGCTGGATGGCGCTGACGAGCACCTCGCGGTCGGCGTCGCTCCCGGCGTCGACCCCGGCGCTCGGCAGCGGCTCCATGGGGTCGAGCGCCTCGCGCTGCAGCTCGAGCTGCTTGCGCAGGTTGAACAGCCCGTGCCGGCGGTCGCGGAGCTCGTCGGCGAGATGCTTCGCCTCCGCCGCCAGCACCGCCTCCGTCGTGTCTTCGGGCAGCGGGCGATACCCAGCGTCCTGGAACCGCTCGGGCCAGTCGTCTTCGCGGATCGCGATGTCCTCCTCAGTCAGCATCTGCGCCTTGAGCGCCGACGGCTCGTAGAGGGTCTTGAGGTCCACGCGCTTCTCGGTGCGCGCCGCGCCGCCTTCGTCGTCCTCGTCCTCGTCCTCGCCGTCGCCTGCGGCGCCGTCGGCACCGTCGGGGCCCTGCAGGGCGTACGCATACGTCGAGCCGTCGCCAAAGACGTCCTGCACGTTGCGCCACGCCTCGTCCGAGATGCCGTAGCTCGTGCCGAGGTTGACGCGCTGCAGGCGGCGCTGCTCGCGCTCCTCGGCGCGGCGGCGGCGGCGCGCCTCGGACTCCTCCTCGTTCTCGCCCTCGTCGTCGTCGTCGTTGACGACAAAGTCCTCGAGGTCGTCCTCGTCGTGCGCCGGCACGGCGTGCGCCGGCGCGCGGCCACGACCACGGCCGGCATCGCGCCCGTGCCGCCCGCCGGCGCCCGCGGCGCCGCCGGCGCGGCCGGCGTCGGCCTCCGAGCCGCTCGCCGAGTCGTCCGAGAAGATGTCCTCGAGCCCGCGGCGCGGCGCGCCGCCCTCGTCCTCCGAGCCGCGGCGCTGCAGCCGCTTGAAGCGCTTGGCGCCGTCGCCGGTGCGGCCGAGGGCCTCGTCGACGAGCGCGAGGTCGTCTTCGTCGAGCTCGGCGTCGCTGTCCTCGCGCGCCTCGCGGCGGCGGCGGCGCGCCTCGCGGCGGGCTTGGCGGCGCCGCGCACGCCGCGCCTCGCGCGACTCGTCCTCCTCCTCGTCGTCGTCCGCGATAAAGCGGCGATCCGCTTCGGTCATCTGGCCATCGTCGTCGTCGTCATCGTCATCGTCGTCGTCGTCGTCGTCGTCGTCGTCGTCGGATGCGTTTTCCGTATCATGACGGGCTTTCTTGTGGCGGCGCGTCGGCTGGAGATCGTCGCTCTCGTCGCTCTCGTCGTCGTCGTTGTGGTGGTGGTGGTTGTCGTGGCGGCTGCCCGCGTCGCGGCGCTGGGTGGCTGCGGCGGGAGCGTCGTCGTCGCTGGCCGGTGCAGGCACCGGCTTGGCGTCGCGCTTCACGAGACGGGCGCCATGGTCCTCGTCTTCGCTCGGAGCCGTCTGACGGCGGACGGCCGGCGCTGTTAATCAAACGCCCGTCGCCCGGAACCCCCGATCCCGGGGAGATCCGAGCGTGTCACCAGGAGTCATGAACCAGGAGTCATAAGCCATCCGTCATGAGTCGATATCCAGCGGCGGTGAGGGGCCTGCCGCGGCGGTAGGCAGCGCGGTCGCGCAAGGACACTTACAATCAGAGTCCGTGTCGGACATGGTGGAGCAGGCACGTGCCGATCACGCGCCGTGTGGCCGGGGCCCAAGCAGCGGCGCACGCCGAGGGCCGACGCGGAGAAGGGCAGAGCAGGGATCGGCGGCGGCGGCAGGCGGCGGCGGCGGCGGCGGCGGCGGCGGGCGTGCACGTGGCAGCAGCGGTTCAGCGGGAGATGGGGCAGCACGTGGCAGCAGCCGTCCGCGCGAGGCGCCGTCGGCAAGGCCGTCGGCAAGGCCGTCGTCGGGCGCGAGCCTCGAGAGCCGTCCGGCGCGTGGTGGCCGGGCAGGCGGGCAGTCCGGCCCGACGCGGCGTGGCGAGGGAGGTCGCCTCGCGGAGGCGCGAGCCGGCCGCCGTGCGAGGGTCGGTGGGCGGTGGCGGCGTCGGGCGTCAGTGCCGCGCACGTGGCCGTCAACGCACGTGGCCGTCAGCGCACGTGGCCGTCAGCGCACGTGGGCCGCTCAGCAGGCCGTCCGCACGGGTCTCGCCTCAGCAGCCAGCGGTCACTCGTCACCCGTCGACGCGGGACGGCGAGATGGCGGGACGGCGGGACGGCGGGATGGCGGGATGGCGGGATGACGGTGCGGCTCTCGCGACGCGGCTCTGGCGGGACGCGGGCCGATACGGGTGGTGCGCGGGAGGCACGTCGATGGATCCGGGACGCGGGGGGTTCGGGAGGGTCGCGTGGGCTCCAGGCGACCAAGGCACCGCTCCGCAGGGGGGATGGGCTCGCACCCACGCGGCTTCCACCTTCCGTCGCGTCCTGCGACGCGCGCGCGCGCTTCGCCTCGCACCACCAGCGTCTCCCATCGCCTGGCGTCGCGTGGCGGCGGTCGCGCGCAAGAAGAGCGCGTCAGCCGAGGATGGGCGCGCGCGCGGCGCTGGCGACCTCTCTCGCAGAACGCTCCGGGCGGCTTCGACGCGGGCTCCGACGGCGCCTCGCGGCATCGCGACCCGGCGCGGCGCGGCGACGGAGCGCGGCCGACGGAGCGCGGCCGACGGCGAAAGGGCGCTTCGCACGAGACGAGCCGGAGCCGGAGCTCCCCGAGACAGCGGCCGCGCCAGCGCCACAGACCCTTCGGAAGCCGTGGATCGAGCCCGCCGCCCTGCCCCAGCCGCCGCTTGCCGCTGCCGGAAGCGCGGCACGCCGCGTCGGCTCGTTGCCACCCCGTGGAAAAGGAAGGGGGACGGGCCCGCGCCGCGCGCGCGCGCACGGGGCGTCCGGTATGGCGAGCGAGGACCGGATCGCCCGGCGACGGCATCGCCTGGCCGCGCATGTGCCGACGCCCAAGGGCGGCCACGCGCCAACGGTCACGCCAGGCGACGCTGTCGGCCGCTCTGCATCTTGCCGATGCGCGTGGCCACCACGCGCCTGTCCATCCCGTCGCCGTGGTCGGAGCGGCCGTCCGGCTCGTCCGCCGATCCCTCCGCGACCCCCCGCATCGCCTCCTCGGACGGCGCAGTATCGCGACCAGCAGACGTCGCTTCCTTGGACGCCGATCGGGACGTCGCTGCTGCACGGCCCTTCATCGGCCACGACGACCACCGATGCGGCCGCCGCCATGATCTTGCAGTTCATGTCCGCCCAGCGCGGCCGCGGCCGCCGCATCCGGTACACGGCGCACTCGGCGCCGCCGGCCGTCCGCGCCGCCATCATGAACCGCACCCTCGACCTCGCGGCGCTGCTCGCGGCGCCCGAGTCGCCGCCACCGCCGCCGCCACGCGACCGTGTTGAAGCGGCCGCGACGCCGCCGGAGCGGGACGCGCCCTCGGACGCCCACGACCCGGCCACCACGCCGAACGCGGCCAAGAAGATGAAACTCCGACACCGGTCGGACACCGAGCGGGCGGCGTCTCCGACCGCGGCGCCGACGTCGACGTCAATCGCGGCAGCAGCGACGGTCCCCGCCAGCGCGAGCCTCGCGCCGCCGCCGATGCCGGAGCTCCCGCGCGTCGCCGACATGCCCGAGGACGCGGACGACGCGTGGCTGCGCGACCGCATCCAGGCCCTGCGCGACCGCAAGCAAGCGGTCCTTGCCAAGATCATGGCCGCCGCCGCTGCCGTCGCCCCGTCGGCCGCCGCCGGCCACGCCCACGCCCACACCCACGCCCACACCCGGCCCGCGCCGCCGGCCCGCGCCGCTGGCGCCTCTGCCCGCGCCGACGACCCCTACGGCCGCCGCCGCGCGCCCTTCAGCTACGGCCGCGACCGCGACGCCCTCGACCCGGACCGCGACCTGCGCGACGACGCGCCGCGTCCGCACGCGCCCTTCGGCTACGGCCGCGCCGGCAAGACCGACGCGTCGCCGCCGCCGCCGCCGCCACCGCCGCCGCCGCCGCCGCCGGCCGGCAGCGGTCCCGGCGCGCGCCGCGTCTCGGGCGACGGCGACCTCGGGTTCATGCACGCGCTCGGGCCACTCGGCCTCGGGCCCCGCGGCGGGCCTGCTGGCGGCGCCGCGCCCCGCGGCGCGTCCGCCAGCTACCCGGGCCTCGGCGGCGCCGGTCGGCCGGGCGACCTCTACGACCGCGACCGTGACCGCGACCGTGACCGTGACCGTGACCGTGACGCCGCCCATCTCCACGCAGGACCCGGCGGCGGCGGCGGCGGCGGCGGCGGCAGCGGCGGACACCACGGCGGGCACCGGCGCAGCGGTCGTGGCGGCTGGGACCGCGGCGGACGGGATGGCCGCGGCCCGCCGCGCGACCGCGACCGCGACCGCGACCGCGAGGGATCCCGCCGCGAGCGGCACCGCGGCGGCCGGCACCGCTGATGGAGCGCGTGCGCGAGGCGTCGTCATGCGGGCCATGGCCGTCGCAATCTCCCGTCTTGCGGGTGTGACGCAACGAGTCGTTGGTGTCGTCCGCTCGTCGCTGTGATGTCAATAGAATAAAAAAGGCATATGGAGAGAGACAATTGGATCAACCGGCGCGATACGCGGTGTTCTGCTGACGTGTGCATGGCGCCGTAGGCGAAGCTTGCTCGGCTCTTGCGGGTTCGCGAACGTATAAAAAATGATATAGGCGAAGAGCAAAAATGCATCCTCGGAGACGGAGAGGTTCGAACTCCCGGCCGCCTGCATGCAAAGCAGGCACTCTACCACTGAGTTACGTCCCCGGAATTTTTTTTTGAAGGGGGGCCGCTTTTGTTGATTCATTTGTAATCACGGTTGTTAAGCCTCGCACTCATTTGACATTCTCACCAATGGGCGTCTCGAATTGATGAATGGGTGTTTACTGTATTAATAGCACTTTTTGCCGCGCCACTTGTAACAATCAGGTGCGTTGCCTCTATTTTCATGCAAGATCACTTTAAACTCAATGCTATTAAATTATGTTTGTAATCCATTCAAGACCATCAGTCTTTCGATTGAAGAGGACTAATGGTCAACAGGCGATTCATGCATCAACCAGGCCGAAAACGTGTGATGCAGGACTGTCAGATTCTGTCTAAAACTACCACCATCGCAGGCTAGTACGTGTTCTGCACCACAGGCTGGCTGTAAGTGTTCTGCATCACAGGTTGGCTGTAGGTGTCCTGCATCACCGGTTGGACGTAAGTGTCCTGCATCACCGGCTGAACGTAGGTGTCCTGCTTGTAAGTCGGCTGGACGTAGGTGTCCTGCACCGGCTGCTCGTAGGTGTCCTGCACCGGCTGCTCGTAGATGGCCTGAACTGGCGGGCTGTACGTGTCATACGTCGGGGCCTGGTTCATCACGGGCATGACATCGACCGGCATGCCGTAGCTGGTGTCCTGGTACGTCTGGTCATAGACGGGGACGTTCTGCACCTGGTAACTGGGGCTGCCGTAAGTGTCGGGGCTCGGCTGCATCGTGGGCATCATCTGGATGCTCGGCGCACCGTAGCCGCCGCTGCTCGGCGGCCCGTAGGCATCGTTGCCCGCCAGCACGCTGCTCGGAGCGATCGTGAGGGCCACAACGACGGTAAGGGCGCCCCGGGCCAGGTTCCGCGCAGAGATCATGCTGGCAAGTCGGCCGTGAGGATGCGGTTTGGGAGAAGCGCGGGATCGGACCATTGGCCGTGTCGAGGGATGGTCTCTGGGCTGACGCTCGCGGTGCTGCTACTAGAATCAGCGAGATCGCACGGGCAGGGGGCGGCGGAGAAGGGAGTCGAGTCGTGCGTTTGGGGGATAACAAGGAGGGAGGGCGGGTCAGGAATCAAAATGCGGCGGACCACGCTGTAAAGGCGACAGAGGAAACGGTCGAAGGAAGTGTAGAGGCCGGCCAGCAGCTCGGGAAAGTCCCGGTATAGCGGGAATAAAGAATGTGATGGGAAGCGGATGGTGCCGGGACCGGGGTCGGTCGGGGCGAAGTGAAAGGGAGGGATGCGATAGGAAGAGAGGGATGGTGGTGGTGTTTGTCCATTAAGCATCTTTCTCATACCTGGCCGTCTCCACGACACGACCTCTCCATTCAACAATCACTGATCGGCCGATCGCGCCTGGGTTATATAGGGCGGGCGACGGGATCAACGATGTTGCCGTTGCGGACCGTTAACACGGTCCGCAGAGGTTAAAAACTTTGAAGGGCGGCGTACGGCGCTCGCTTGCCGCACCGGCACTCATTTTTGCTCCCTGTGCTTCCCTTTGCATCTGCCGTCGCTTGCATCTGCTGGCCCGTCCGTTATCAGGAAGGGCAAACGACATGCACGCTTCGGTCGATCCGTGCCGTGCCGGTGCGGCTCCTGTGGAGACTGGCGATCCCAAGACCATGCCGTATGGCGTTGCCGGTCGGGCGACGTGTCGCAGCGTAAAACTGAAAGAAACGCTGTCGGGCGTCGTGTTGCAGTGTAAAACCGAAAGAGACGCCGCTGGGCGTGGCCGCACCGTGGGCCAAGAGCCGGTGGACTCGCGGCACTTGCGGCGGCGGCACCCACCGGTCGCCTCATCCGTATGGAGCGGAGCCGTGAGAGAGTGAGAGAGAGAGAGAGATAGTAGACGCCGCTGCGGACGCCGCAACAACGTCTTGAAACGGTCTTAAACCTTTTCACTGCGAGATTCAGAATGAAATCACACTTCTCACAAGGCCCGCGCATTCGATGATGGTCAAGAGCTAATGCGGCGCTGGCGGGGCCATCGTCTCAACGAGTGCATCTAAAGGAACGCGTGCCACCCTTCGTCATGTTCTCTGCCATCAGCCAGGCGATGAATGCATCCGTCTGTATCTATTTAAAAATCAATCACAAGCATCTGGGTGGAATCAGGATGGAAACAGAATGGAGTCGGCAATCAAGCGCCCGCGTGCTGCCGTACGTATCCGATCGCAGCCTGTCGCACGCCTCAAGCCGTGCAAGCTTCACGAGCGACGCTATGGCGAAGGCGGTCGTGGCGGAAGGAGCGGTGGCATGGTGGCCGTCGAGGCCCGTGCGGACGGGAGGGCTGCCATGTCGATCCAGGGCGTCATGTCGTGCGCGCTCCCGGCGCCCGCCGCGGCCATCGGATCGCTCGCCGCGTCGCCGTCCTCCGGTATCATGGGCGTGCACGGCTGGCTCATGTACCCGCGCTCCTGGTGCGTCCCGCGCGGCTGCACGATCGCCGACCGCGCGGCCGCGCCGTTCGCAAATGGCGAACCGCCCCACCGTCCGGGCAGCGCGAACGAGGGCCGCGTGTGCCGCGCGGACGGCGCATCCTCGTCCATCGCGAGGCCGGCGGGGGCCGCGAGGTCGGCGAGGAAGGCCTCGCCGCCCGAGAGCGTCGCGTGGCGGCGGCCCGCGGCGTGCACGGACGCTGTCGCCGCGGCGCCGCTCGCCCGGCCGAACGCGCTGCCGGCGGAGGACATGCCGGCGAAGGGGCTCGTGGCGGTGCTGAGGCGCGCGAGGCTGCGGCGGTCGCCGTGGGCCGCAGGCTCCTCGGCGTCGCCCGAGAACGCGAACCCCGTGAACGACCGGAGCGCGCTGCCCGGCGTGCCGTCGGCCATGCCGAGCTCGAACATGGGCATGGCGCGGAGCGAGTGCCGCGGGGGGCGTCCGCCCGCAGCGGCGGCGGCGGCGGCGGCGGTGCGGGCGTGCGTGGGGCTGACGGCGGCGCCGCGGCGGTCGGCGCGGGTCGGCGCGACTTGGCGCGCGGCCTGGTCCCAGGCGACATCGGTGCCCGGCGGGAGCGCCGTGGCCTTTGTGGCGGCGAGCGGCGGCAGCGAGATGGGGCGGCGCCGTCCGCTGCTGAGCAGGTGCATGGTCGGGAGCGTGGGGCGCCGCGGCTTGGGCGGCCGCGGCCGCACCACGAACATGTCGAGGTTGGTTTCGACGGGCGCCTCGGCCTCGATGGCCGCGGCGGGCGCGTCCAGCACGGCATTCTTGGCGTCCCGCACGTCTTCCTTGAGCGCCGGCGTCGAGCCCGCCGCGCCACGGGCGTCAGGCGAGCCGGCCACGGACGGCACTGCCGCGGTGGGGGGCGCTGCGGCTGGCGGCGCCACCGGCCGCCCGAGCGTGGTGTGGCCGTCCTCAAGCTCGGTCGGCTCCGAAGCGGCATCCGCGGCGTCCGCGGCATCGCGGTGGACGACGGTCTGGGGAAGGATGGGCCCTGCCTGGGCCATGTGGGCGAGCGTCGAGGCGCGGGAGAGCGCGCCGTAGCACTCGGGCAGGTCACGCGGGTCGGACGTGGTCTTCTGGCACTCGCGAATCACGCACTCGTCGCTTGGCCAGATCATGCGGCTCGCGTAGGTGGCGGTATACCGCGGCAGGACGGCGATCACGACGCTGATCACAAGCATGGCCCAGGTGATGGGGTTCTGGTAGAGCCGCACGGCCAGCTGCGGGTCGCTGGAGGACTTGGCGGCGCTGTAGAGCGGGATGTAGATCAGAATCGAGAGCGCCGAGAAGGCGACCGTCGCGGTGACCACCACGCTCCAGTGGTGGAAGGCGAGGCCCATCGAGAGGTTGACGCTGACAATGACGAACATGGCGACGCAAGAGCCGAGCATCTGCTTGTCGACGGCGCGGCCGTTGCTCTGGGCGCTGAGCTCGAAAATCCAGGAGGCCGCAAAGAAGCAACAAGCGCTCTGCCACGCAGCATCGGCCACGTACAGCCAGAACCCTTTGAGGGTGAACCGGGAGCCGCGGATGCCGACGACGTGGAGCTGCGGAAAGGCAAGGCAGTAGCGGTCGCCGAGGTCCTGGTCAAAGATGCCCATCACGATGGGTGGCAGCGAGGTGAACAGCAGATTGTAGAACATCAGGTACGTGTAGTCGTACAGGATGTCGGCCGTGTACCCGCAGTAGATCTGGTACCAGAACATGCCGAAGACCCAGGCCATGTTCTTGAAAAAGAAGTTGTAGATGGTCTTCGTCGTGCGGTAGTACGAGTAGCGGCCGTGTACGAGGATGAGGCGCGACAGGTGGCGGAACTCGCCGATCACGTAGTCGGCGGCCATCGCGGCCTGCATGCCTTCCTGGCCGCTGATCCCGACGCCGACATGCGCCTCTTGGATCATACTCACGTCGTTCGCGCCGTCGCCGATGCTCAGGCACATCCCGCCCAGCCCGCGCTTCACGAGCCGCACGACCTGCGCCTTCTGCATCGGGCTCACGCGGCAGCACAGCACCGTCTCGCAGCGGCGGGCCACGTCGAGAAACCGCTCGGCGGGCGCGCTGCGCTCGACCGACGCCGCGCGCCACCACGGCAGCAGCCGGCCGACGGCGCGCCGCCACATGGGCGGCGTCGGCAGCGGCGTGTCGGGGGTGACGGCCTTCGCGGCCTTCGTGGCGGCCGCCGCCTCAAAGACCGTCGTGAGCATATCGCCGTCCAGCACGAGGCTGCACGGGCCCTGGCGGAGTTTAGCGAGCGCCTCGGCGCACTGGGCATCAAAGTCGCGATCGGCCTTCATGACGATCAGCAGATCGCGCTGCGCATCGAGCAAGTGGCTCGCATACCCGATGTTGATGGCCGTTTCGACCTTGTCGCCCGTCAGGACCCAGAGCTTGATGCCTGCCGCGCGGAGGGTCGCGATGCAGTGCGGCAGGTCCTCCTGGAGCTGGTCCTCGATCGCCGTCGCGCCGAGCAGGGTCAAGTCGGTCTCAATCTCAGCCGCGAGCGCGTCCATCTGTTCGTCGCGGTCCACAAGGTCGGTGCAGGCGTCCTGCCAGCGGGCATACCACCCCGCG